GGCGAGGATGCGGCGACGGCGAGGACGCGGCGGCAGCGAAAATTCCTCGATCTCCCTCACCATCTCTGTTTTCTCTCCTACCGTTTGAGTTTCTGTGATTTGAATTTGGTTTTTTCGATTTGAGTTTGGCTTCTGCGATTTGAGTTTGGTTGTTGCAATTTGAGTTTCGTTTCTCCGATTTTTGAGTTTCTGGGTTCTCTGTGCAGGTTGGGGGTGGAGAAGATTGAATCATGGAGGCACGATTTGGGTTTTGGGTTGCTGTTATGGTGGTTTTGGGTTGTTGTTTTGCGTTGCAGGTTGCTGTTCTGGGTTATGTTCTGGGTTATGGGTTGCGCTTCTGGGTTCTGCATTGCGTTTTTGTGAATCTCGGTCACCATCTGCTTGAACTGAACTGAGTTACCTAATTTTTTTTTAAAAAAAAAAGTGTTACGACCTCGGTTATTTAAAATCCGGGGCATAATCTTACCACTTTTGTCTCGGTCCATGACCGAGGCATAAAACCTATATTTTTTTACCCCGTCTGATTATGCACCGGTTGTAGAACCGGTGCCTATAACTAATTTTAACCGGTGTTATATCGTGCTGGTGTACTAGTGTATGGAGAAAAATATTTATAGTTATACATGTTTGTACAAGTTCGCAATATAATTGCTACAAATAAGTTATTTAATGTAGACTACTATAATATTTTATCTTAACAATTTAAGGATATCACTTATTCTAATACTCTCTTCAAGTCAGAGTAAATATTAAGAACTTTCAATATTTACATTACGGTAAAATAAGCTTTTTACCTAATAGTTTGATAAACGCGGACAAGTTGTTCACTTAGAAAGGAAGTTAGAATTGAGCTATCATTAATCTTATCACTTATCACTAATAATACAACAACTTACTATTAAATGAGCTCGCTAGAACAAGAAGAAAGATATGATAGTGTGCAACAACAAGGGCTCCTTATTCAATTTCTTTTAACAACCATGGATGTCATTTTTATTGGTTTACGTGTTGTGC